TATATATATATATATATATATATATATATATATATATATATATATATATATATATCTGCAATCCAAATATAAACTTGTATGTCATATATGTAATTTGCATGTGCCCTAATGGAGCTGCACAATATTGGAAAAATGTGATATTGCAAAATTGTGATTTTCTGCAATATATATTGCTATAATGAATAGTTTAATAAAATTATTTAAATAGCTCTATTTGATGGTTTTCTATGGAGTCAAACAGTATTCAGGTACATAAATTGAATAATCACAGTGCAAAATAAATGCTTTTCTTACTTGACTCTTAGATATCTAAAATATCTCTTATATATCCATATAACTAAAAATTCTTAGATCAAGTAAAGTATTGTCTTATTTTCAACTTTTCTTTAATCTCACTTTTTCCTCAAAACAAACAAAAGAATATTGTCAGTGGGGCAAGTAAAATAATCTTGTTTTTCACGTTGAACTGTAGATATTTGAGTAGAAATAAGACAAAAAATTGAATTAAGAAAAGCATTTATAATTTGTATAAATCATATAAATTCCACAAAAATACAGTAATTACATACAGTTCTGTATCTCCTGGTAAACTATGATTCAGACTCAACATTGCATATCTTGCAGTGGGACTGTTGCAGATGCGCACATTGCCATATCGATGCTGAAACCATGTGCAGCACCAATTTCCATAGATCAGATTTCTAAATAACATGATTTCTGACAGATGCTAGAGTCAGGAATGGAGTGATGGCTTAAGTAAATCAATTTGTAAATATGTCACACAGAAGTTATTCAAAAAATGTGAACCTAGTTAAGGACTGTAGCTGAAAAACCAAGATTTAAATTCTAGACATGAGAATCATTGTTAATCTGATTACAAGATTAGCTGCGTAATTACGAGCTGCTGGCTATATTTGGGGCCATGTGTGAGTTGGTTTGTGAAGGAGCGTTTGTGATTTTCTAAGTCTTTCTCTATGTATATAGATATTTATAAGTATATATATCTAACTATGTCTGTCTCTCTCGCACTCACTTGCATGCGCATATGCCTACATTCTGTTCAAGAGCTCTCTCTACCTTTTGTGTGTGTGTTTTTGTATTTGTCTATATGCACATAGATATATCGAGCCTTTTGTAAATTTCTTTTGATTTATACCTCACACACTGAGGACGGAGATGAACAAAAATATATGTATATATATATATATATATATATATATATATATATATATATATATATATATATATATATATATACAACAATTCTGTCTGGTTCTCAAATCTGATTGGCTGATAGCCGTGCAATATTTTGCAATATCAGAACTCCTACAGCCTCTACCCTTTGTGTATTACTCCTCCCACATACAGCCAGCAAAAAGCAGACACTACAGATCTAAAGTTTAAAAGATGCACGCTCAACTGTTTAACTGTCAGCTTATGATTTGAATCGGAAGAAAGTAGTCCCTCATACAGAAGAGTTTTTGAGACTCTCCATGTTTGATTTTGTTTTTATATAAACAATTATGCCGTAAAACTGTTGTATAAATGCAATATCACATGCATGATCAATGAGTGCAGTTCTTGACCTTTTCAGTTATTCTGTTTGTAAGATTAATGCACTAAAATCTACCAATGCAGGAGCGCAGTGCATACTTCACTAATATACCATCGAAATATAACAAAATTTGACGATAATATAATCCCTCCACTGTATTTTAATACTCAGCCAATCACATTAACTCATTAGCTGGATTATTATTTGGATGTTTCACTCTGGTTTGTTGGTAAAATGTCAAACTGTTGTTTAAACGCAATATCACACTCGTAGCAGTTCAATATGGCTGTATATCGTCACTGGTGTGACACTAAGGCACTCGCCCTTATATATTACAGTGCACACATTTATTTTGGATGGCTTTAATCATTTGGCAGAACATTATTTATGATTTTTATGGTAGGTATGGTTTATCATACAACCAGAACTATTAGCCCTCCTTCGAATTTATTATTATTTTTTTGTTCTCAAAAATTTCCCAAAGTATGTTTAACAGAGCAAGGTATTTTTCACAGTATTTCCTTGAATGTTTTTTCTTCTGGAGAAAGTATGATTTGTTTTATTTCGGCAAGAATAAAAGCAGTTTTTAATTTTAAAAAGCCTTTTTAACGTCAATATTATTAGCTTACTTAAGAAATATTTGTTTTCAATTGTTTACAGAACAAGCTATTGTTATACAATGACTGATTAACCCATTTAAACTGCACTTAAGCTGAATAATAGTGTCTTGGAAAACATCTAGTAAAATATTTCGTACTGTCATCATAGCAAAGATCAAATAAATCAGTTATTAGAAATGAGTTATTAAAACTATCATGTTTATAAATGTGTTGAAAACATCTTCTCTCTGTTAAACAGAAATCAGAGAAAGAAATATACAGGGGGCGAATAATTCTGTCTTCAGCTCTATGTTTGACCTTGAGATCATTGTATTCCAAGAGTTGTCAACTAACCCCTAGTCTATGATAAAATACAAATTGTGTCCTCCAGCGTGAGCCTCCGCAGCCTCACTCCAGTCCTCATCCGGCTCCATCTGTCCGCGGGGAAGGAGAAGGCGAGGTGCGCAGCTCCTCCACGACTCTTGGAGGAAGAGGAGAAGGAGCAGGAGCCGAAGACCGAACACGGGACAAACCAACACACGGCATTCACTACAGAAACGGCTCCGGCGCCCGTTATGCCAACCAAAGCCAAGCCACAGACTCTTCCTGTATACTGACTCCACCAAACACCCCGCTCTATCCGGAACACACGTACATACAGTCCAACACAGCGCACTACCCGGAGCATGCTTCACAAGAGCACACACATACACACTCGCACACTAAGACCAATGGTTGCATGCGTTCTACTCCTGAGCACAAGAAAATCAATGGCTTCATCAGCAATGGCATTGAAGGCAAGTCCAAAAAACAAAAAAAAACACCTTTTAAGTCGTGGATGTGTGTGTTCTTATTGCTAGATTTGGAGTTTTCGGTCATTCCTGTTACGCAGTGTGCTTCAAAGATAAAAAGTGATTTGTTCAAAAGCATCAGAAAAAATTGTGGAAAAAAAGTGAAAAAAGGCATATTATGAACTTATTTAATTTAATTAAATTGTTTTTATTATTATTGATATTATTTTATTATTATTGTTTTTTATTGTTTATTTATTTGTTTAATTTTATTTATTTTATATTTTAATTTTATTTTTTATACATTTTTATTGTTTTGTTTTGTTTTTATTTTTTATTGATTTGTTTAAGTTGATTGTTTATTTATGTAATAATTAAATAAAATTTTATATTTTATTTTTATTAAATTGTGTTGTATTATTTTATTTTTATTTTATATTTATT